ACACCGCAACATGCGACCACGCACACCAGAGGCATACAAATCATGAAGGATACCATACCGCCATGTCGTATCATATGCTTTCTCCAGGTCGAAGAAAACAGAGACACAATGTTGCCTATTTACGAAAGCTTCACGTATGGTTGTTTCCAGACGGACTATGTGGTCCAAAGTAGACCGCCCTTCTCGAAAGCCACATTGGTTATTAGCAAAGAAGTGGTTATGCTTCAAAATATATATCAACCGCCTATTAATGAGGCGTTCGAAGGTTTTGCCAAGGCAACTCGTTAACGCGATTGGACGGTAACTACGTGGGTTCGAAGGGTCCTTCCCAGCTTTCAGCAAAGGAATTACATGCGCCTGTTTCCAGATTTGAGGAAAGTAAGCTGCTTCCCACAGATAGTTGAAAAAACCTAGTAGTGTGTTCAGCGATTCACGAGACAACTGACGGAGCATTTCATAGTGGATTCCATCAAGTCCTGGAGCCGACCTCTTCTTGGAGCCCAGAGCCACCTCTAGTTCTTGCATTGTGAAAGGAGTGTTGTATGTATGGCTCAGAGCTACAACCGGACATGGGTATACGGTGACACTCAGCACTTGCTTTAAAACGTTTAAATTCCATGCGATAATTTTGGGAGCTGGAAACATTCTCAAACTGCTCTCCAAGCACATTAGCAACATCTTTCAGCGAATTAGCAGGGGAGCTAAATATAGAGGAGTAACAAAACAACGGTAATCCCCTTTGATTTTTTGTACCTATCCCAAACTTTGTTGGATTCGCCCTTTTGGGGCTTTCACCACTTAGAAACACAAAGAGTTCCTTGGGTCCGCATAAAGACGTGTTTATTGACTGCAATGTCAGCACGCTTCGCTCTTAGACAATGAAAAGTCTGGGCGCTGGCTCAATTGCCAGTATCACCCGGTCGGTTTCCCGCGCTGCCGCATTAGACAGATTCACGGGAAGTCGGAGGCCCACAAAGAAAAACCGAGCTCCGTAGAGCCAGGGCCTCCGCCGACGAGAGCCTCCTGGCCCACCTTCGGGGCCAGCTTATGTAGCCTCGGAAAATGGACGCGCCCGGGGAGGCCACTAGCAGTCGCGTCCATTATAACTCTCAAGGGTGTGCCGAAGGCGCGTTCACCCAAATGGGCAAGGGAGAGCCGGCCCCTTCGGGGAATTCGGCCTCGTGGTTCCTTGTATCCGGGAGGCCGACGCCATTGGTGACGACGGCTCCCACGGCCTGCTCGAAGCTAGGCCTGGATAGGGATAGAGGGAACCCCATGGTTCCCACAACTTCCTTCTCCGAGACAAAACTATTTAGGGAGGAAATGTACTTGGTCCAGGACTTCCACTTAGCTTTCCTCCTAGTCCATCGGGCCTTTGCTTTTAGTCTTTTAAATGCTATCCTATTTGAAGAAGTAGAGTACCTCCGAAAGGTATCCCATGCCCTATGCTGCTTTTTCCTTGTGGTAGCACATTCCTCGTTCCACCAAGGCCTACACCTCTTGGGTAAACTTTCAGACGTGCAAGGAATGGCGTCTTGGGCGGCACTTATGATTTGCTCCGTAACATACACTGTCGCTTCTTCAGGTGACAAATTTGGTAGAACTGACGGGTCAGGCACCGCATCAAGTTTAAAGAGTGCCCAGTCGGCTTTGTCCAGTTTCCGCCTAGGGGTTCGTTTTAAAATATTCGGCAGAGGAACTAGGCTATCGATTACAACCGGGAAATGATCACTTCCAAAAGGGTTGTCTAAAATCCTCCAAGAAAAACAGGAAAGTATTGATGGTGATGAAATGGAGAGGTCAATGGATGTGAAGCAATTATGAGTGGAACTATAAAATGTTGGGTCTTTCTTATTTAAAAGACATATGTCTGACGAGAGTACAAATCTTTCTACAACAGCGCCACGAGAGTCATGGTGCTTACTGCCCCACATGGGACTGTGAGCATTAAAATCACCACAAATTAAAAAAGGCGTTGGGAGTTGCTGAACCGATTCTTGAAGTTCATGAAGATGCAGTTGACGATGAGGTGGTAAATACAAGGACAGAACTGTAATGAGACGTTCGGCAAGAATACGTACCGCAACTGCTTCTAGTGATGTACGCAGAGGAACTTCCACACATGCTATGCCACTCCGTATAACAATGGCAACACCACCAGAAGAGTGGTCTGAATCCCGATCCTTTCTAAAAACGCGGTGATGATCAAAAACATTTGTATGGGTGTTGTTAACATATGTCTCCTGTAAGCACACAGCAATGGGCTGTAGCTCATCTAGAAAGAAATGAATGTCACCAATATTTTGTAGGAGACTTCTACAGTTCCACTGTATAAAACTATATGTGTTCATGTTAAAAACGATTTAAAGTAACAACAAAACAAAAAAGGAAACCTGCTCTAGGTGCCCTGGGGCGGTTTGGGTGCGGTTACTCGCGGATTGAGCTTTTTCTGGGAAGACTTTTTAAGTCTGGTGTCATACGGTGGGACTGAACGAGGGGGAGGAGGTTCACCAAGTTCCATCCGCTCCTCCTCAGGCTGAACGGCTGAGAGAGCAGCTGGTACGGACACCTCCTTAGATGTCGAGGCCTCTCCTAGCGTCTTAAAAGAAAACACACCCTCCTTCTTTCTGGGAGGGGTCCGAGTAACCAAGGCAGGCGCATCGTTCGATGGCCCATCCTTTGGAATGGAGGAGGCACCAATGCCTTCTTCCCGAGGCTGCTGTTGCCGCCTCTCCTCTTGTCTCCCCTCCATTAGCACAGAGGCATCCTTCGCCTCTGCACCATCTGGAGGCCCCTGTGGTTTCTTCGGTTCCAACGACAAACGGAGTCGTGGACCGAATTTTTGTGAGGCAGGGGGATGTGGTGGAATCCCCAGGTCATTAGGACCGACCTGGGTTCCTACCTAATTTTTGTGAGGCAGGGGGATGTGGTGGAATCCCCAGGTCATTAGGACCGACCTGGGTTCCTACCGAAGACTTTGATGGCACACCCCCTGCACGTGCCACCAAAGAGTAAGGCCCCTTCTGCAGGAAGGAGAATCGCTTCCTGGCTTCGGGGAACGAAATGTTCTCTTCCACTTTGAGTGTTATAATTTCTTTTTCTTCTTTCCATTTTTTGCAAGATCAGGAATAAGCAGGGTGAGACTCTTTGCAGTTGATGCAGGAAGGTGGATTCGAGCAATTCTCTGTAGGGTGATCATTTTTGCCACACTTGGCGCACGTTGTCTTTCCACGGCAGCTCAGGGCACTATGGCCATACCTCTGGCAGTGAAAGCAACGCTGAGGGTTTGGCACATACGGCCGTACTTTACAGTTTAGATACCCCGCTTTGACCGATTCTGGGAGGGCTCTCAGCTCAAAAGTGAGAATGACATGCTTTGTCTTAATCTCCTGACAGTCCCGGCGAAAAGAAATTCGCTTTGCAGCTATGATTCCTTGGTCACAAAGGCCATCGACAATTTCCTCTTCGGGGGATTCTAGAAGGTCATCTTCTGATATTACGCCTTTAAGAGTGTTCAAAGTGCGGTGGGGTGATACAGTAACCCTGTAGTCAGAAACCAAGTTGAGTGCCAGCAGGTGTGAGCATTGTTGAGAGGTCACAACTTCAACGAGGAGATCTCCAGATGGTATTTTTTTGCTTTAAAATTCTTTCCGATCACAAATTCAGGAGTCTTCGAAACCAGGAAAGGGGATAGCTTGGATAAGGGTTTTTCCATTTCAGAATGCATAACAAGAAATCGAGAAAACTTCTCCACGGGTGTAAATGCTTTCATAACGTGTACTTCGGTCCGGACCCTTTTCAGGGCCCGATCAGGTTTTTGGTTTTGTTTGGAACCCATAAGAAATGGGGAGGTGTTCGGCGTCTGTAGCGCACCACCCACCACGGAGCCCAACATGGGGATAGGTAATGCGCCATAGCAATAAAGGTTTCGCTGACGACATTACGCTATCAGTGCTACCAAGACACTATAACCTGGTGCGGGTCCAGAGAAGGGGTCTATCGCCACCCAAGGTTAGCCCTTGCCGCCAAAGATGGTGAATATGAAAGAAAGAAGAGCAGAGAAAAGAGAAAGATAAGATGGGATAGTAGAAGATGTGGCGACTGACTGAATCATCCTGGTCGGGCCAAGCCAGGACACCCGTCTACAGGAAGCAGGGGCCAAAGGGGTGTGTTGCCTCGCCCGGGGGGCCCCGAAGGGTCCAAACCTACCCCGGGCTCAGCTCAACCACCAGGATGCCGTTTTCCCTGGACACGGGCTCGCCACGCAAAGCCAGACGTGGGTGGGTCTTAGCCACCTTTTACTCAGGGTCTGCGGTGTCGCCAAAGTGGCTGGGGTCCGTGGTGACGCTAGTCACCAAGCACCTAGCACCTAATGTGCAGGTGCCCCCTGCGGGGCTCGGGGTACGTGGAGACGCCACTCTCCAAACACCTGTTTTCACAGGTGCCCCCTGCGGGGGTGCAGGAAAGTAAATAAAAAATAATTATATGGCCGGTTGTTCAATGTCTCCATTTAATATTGGCGCCCATACCCGCAAGCATTATCTTCTAATTTTTCTAAATATTCCTGCATGATCTAGCATTAGAACTCTTGACAACTTACTGACGTCATGGGTGGCATTTCGAAGCCTTTGACTGTGTAGCATATCGGCACATACCACGTAGCGTTTCGTTCAACTAAAGTGCTGGTTGAGGTTCACAGTCAACGGTGTTTGACATCCAACGAATGGATTCATTAAATATTTTAATTTGGCGTGTTTACATGTTCCTGCTAGATGTAATTGGGAAATAGTTCCCTTTGATATAGTTCTTAGGGCTCAAGAGCTACCTTGAAGGCAGAAAAAAACGAATCAGCAACTGTCATGTAGTTTTTTTTTTTTTTAAGACACGTTTTATTTCTTTTTACATTGTATACAGTATTTAAAATTTGTTGAGATATGTCCACGAATTGAGTAACATAGCTTGAAATAAGCGTAGATGTGTTTTTCTTTTTCTTTTCACAGAAAAGTGGTGTCAACCCCCAAGCCATCTGAAGGATACGATGTGGACAATACGCAGTACTTTCATGTAGTGGGTAGTAAGTATATCATTTTACCATAGTCTTGTGAGGGTTGAATGGGAAACATTCTTGCTCCCGATATCGCAGCTGCGATCTTCGTCTTGAGACTGTTTCTCCCGTAGCAGTCAAGTCGTCGTCTTCTCGTGGTACGGTATCTAGTGGGATCAATTCAATATTTCTAAATCTGCAAATATCAGAAACGTTCACTGGAGCTCGCACTCCCGTTTGCAGCAACTTTGGCGGAACATGGAAATAATTTTGTTCAACACATGGCTTGCAGTGACGTCATATCAGCAGCCATTATGGTGGCTTAGCTGTTGAGCGTGTACACATCGCGACACTGTTAGCGCGAACACGACATCCGCGCATTTTCGCATTTTGCTTCTAAATAGTATTAGCGAGCACGAACTTTTATCGCTTACATTATAGAACTAAATGAGCTCTTTCCGTAGGAATAATAACTTGGATGACATCCCTTGGTTTCAAAAAGAAAAACTGGAAAAACCGGCGATCGCTTGTTCGCGCTAACAGTGTCGCGCTCTGTACGTTCTCGAGCATGTATTTTGCACCAACAAATTAAATTTTCATGTTAAGTACAGGTACGAATGATAACAAATTACCACGAGAACGGGGTGATAAGGTACTGTGCAAGCCATTTACTCTTTGCACAAGTGAGAAAACGTTTGCACATCTTCTTGCAATACCCTAAATCGTTGTCTTCTGTGAAACATAATTTTAACACTAAAACGTATTTTGATTTCGTCTCTTCAGAAAAGGGTTCAATGATGGTATACATTGCGTACGATGACTGCACGACTTGCCTGGTGTTCAGAAATCCCTACGTTAGCGGTAAGTACTTTTCTCCATACTTCGATGGCACTTTTTTTGAAGTGCTCAAATAATGATAAAAATGCAACATGTTCCAAAATGATCTTGCTCGGGTCCGATAACATCATAGCACTTTGCTGCTTTTGCCTGTTTTACACCACTGTCGATGGCTTCTGTCGACATATACATGTCCGGTCAAGTTACAGCTTGATATTGCTCTGCAACATTATATTATAAACTTTAATTTTGGGGTTTCTTTTTAAAAAGGAAAATTGGCAAAAAGGCCGTTGATGCAAAACCTAGCATTATGCAAACCTGCTCGTCATAAGGTAAAACTGTCGACATAAAATAATACTGACAGACATTGTAAATGTACACGGCGAACCAGTGGACGTGTCAGGTAGCCTATTTTGCCTTTATCGGTATCAAAATTGTGTGTTGAGGGGTTCAAACCAAGCGTGATACCAGCCGCCCCTTATGGTATACACATCGAATTCGACTCCAAGAGGGCGCTGGTCACAATACGATCCTAGTTAGTGGCTTAATTATGGTGTGTCAGCCTAAACAAATCACCAAGGTAGAAAGTCCTGATGCACCTGAATTCGTACAGAGCAATGCCCTTGAAACACGAGTACTTTTCGTTGTTTGTGCAGTTAGCCAATCAAAACGACGTTAGCTATTATAACCTGATACCGATTGATCTTTTCGATACGAGGAATGCCAATAATTCGTGTATAACGCGCTGCACAGTGCAGTGTCCTGTGCGCTTACTGAGAGTGCTAAAGATGAACCCTAGAAAGTTTTAATGGCGGGCCACGGTTCAACTAAAAGTAAGGAAAAAAATTTATCAGGGTCAGGTTTTGAATAAAAAATGCGCACTCATTGACAGCCTCGGCTGCTCTTTTGCCACTTTCAGGATGGTAGTGAACCAAAATGAATTGAATGTAATTGATTGGGCAGCCTGAGAGTTTGTCACCCGAGCTAATATTTGTTCTTTCCAACCTTGAAAAGAAGAACAAGGGGGGGGGGGGGGTGCGGCGATACGGGCGGTACGTTCGTGTTAAATGTTGAACTTCAGCTGTGTAGGCTGTTAGAAAAGATATAAGTTAACCTCGCAAAGTTTTATTTTCTACTTCTGCTATCACTTGAAGAGTGCACCACGGGGAAACATATCTCCATTAGCGATGTGGATTCGGATATTTCTGTACTGTGTACCCTTATTCGCGACTCCAACTCACGATAGGTGGCACCACTCGTTTTCCAAAATGGCGGTTATAGTGAGGGTTGGAGATGTGTGCAAGTATACCAGCTGCTGAGCCTGTGTAGTGCGGTGGCATCTCTGAGCAACACAAATTATTCCTGCTTATACGAGTAAGCTAGTGTGTTATGAGAGCGGGTCAGCTATTTATCCTGAAAACAAAAACAGTGTTTAGCGTAATATTTACGCCAGGAGGCACGTTTTGCTTTTGGGACGAGACCGAAACCAACCTCCATTTTGGATTTAATTTCTCCATATAGGTACTCATTTTGGATTCTTTAACAACTCAAGATGAGACTGACGACGAAATTATTGAGTTAAGGAAGTTGTTCGGCAAAAACTTTATTTTTTGACATGCGTATCTGATCCATGAACTTCAAAATATTTTGGAGTATTCAGTATCAGAGTCAGGATATTTTATACACTTAGAGGTAACATAGATAATTCTGTTTGTTGAAAATATCAGTGCTGATGTATTTGTTGAAAAAATCAATTTTGATATTTGTGTGTTTTGCTGCCTTTTCGCGCTCAGAAAATCGTGATATGAACTAATAAACTGTGGGCCTTTTAGTGCTTTTTGGGGTATTTAGATGATTAATTGCCTTGAGATTATTTCCACCTCAAGAAAAACAAAATCAATGAAAATTTTACATAAGTATTGGCACTGGTGATGAGGTTAGAATATGCTAACATAACTTACAAATTAACAAACTGTTCACACTACAAAATTTTAAAGACGAAATCCGAGTCACACGGTAGAAGTCTGTATGTATGTGTGTCTGTTTAAAGCAATGCGTGACGCATACGACTTTATATTACATCCACTGTTTGACTGCTTGTTCATCTTGATTACGTTGTCAGAGTGTTTTAGAAGCTAAAGTGAAAACAAAACGAGATCTTTCTGGAAAGAATATTGTGGTTAAATATCGTATTTTTGTGATCGTGGAGCTTAATTGGGGGCCTACATGCTGAAATTTGTATTAATAATAATAAAACATTTAAGATATTTTAATTAAAATATTTCAAGCTCTAACAAAATTTGTTGCTTATGATATAAATTCAAACGCGCGAACAAGTATGGGAGTGAGAAGTTTTCAAATTATTAGCACTTGCGTCAATTAGAGCATTTTTAATGAACAAGCTATAAAATAAAAATAGTCTAAAATTAAAGAAATGATTCTAGCAAATCTGAGAAATCCATGTCAAATTAAAATCGCAACTTCTGACAATCAGCAAAATTTTCAGAGTCTCCGCCAGTCCTTCCAAACCAAATGCACCTCCACCTTTTCCCAATAGAAAAAAAAGTAAGCAAAAAAGAAAAGAAAAAAAAGTATAAGTAACGGATGCCGTTTTCGTCCTTTTTAATTATCATTCTTCCCATAACATGTATTTCCTTCAATTTTTACGCCTCGTCTTTGCTGATTTCGGCCTTTCTAGTTCGAAGGAACACCTACCCGCATGCACGTGTCCTCACTGTAGCACATTTCCTTGGTGTTGGAAATGAGTAAAACAGTAGTGAGTTTTAGTATTGCGTATATGAACGAACGCAAGTACTATATTTTTGCATTAGTGTGGCGTGTTCCACACTGCAAGTGAGCGGACACCAAAATTGAGGTCTTCCATTGGAGCATGGCGACGATACAGATGCGCAGCATGGGGCACGCAACTCTAGTACAAATCATAGCGCTTGCTTTTGCTTCTATGCGCAATACTAAAACTCTCCAAGAAGGGCAATCCCATACCGGGTGTAGCTCCACGATGGGACATTAAGGAGTGTTGTTTGCATTCGGAAATGTCATTGTGCCAGCCATGATCGCGAGCGGTTCCGCCGCGCCGGTTGAGCAGGGGAACCGGGAGACCCTCACTAGAGCGCTTCCCGTTTCCGCCACATGATGGCGAGCAAACAGCTGTAGACGCGTATAGCCTAAAAAGATCCTGCTCTCTATATATTTTGCGAGCTCACCAAGCTTCGTATGCGGCGATGTATTTACGGCAGTTAGCAAATAAAGGTGCCCGAGCTATTTAAATAAATACTTTTGCATTGGACATTACGCTAGAATACAAAGCTTCTTTAACAGGCATTCATTAATTGGTTCATACTATCACTTCGCTTTCTTGGAGAGCTCAAATCTGTTCATCAGTAAACTATTTTGTACCAAATTGGTTTGTGGAACCTGCCACAATTAAAAATCCACATAAACAAGGGTGCCATTTCTTCTTCTTTGTTTCTTTTCACAGAGGTGATTGAGACTGTTACGTTCTTCAGTCTCTTGAGGAAGCGAAATATATTTTTGTCGAAACGTCCGCTGCAACTGTGAGGTACCTCAGGAGGCTTTACAATGCGACTTTAAATCCTAGAGCAAATTATATTTCACAAAAGCAAAAAATTGCGAGGCGGGTGTAATCGATAATTAATACTTCTTTAATGTATAGCTACTTGATTTCAATTTTTTTTTCATACACCGCGTTATTATTTTTGCCGCTATACTCTGCTGCGTGCTAAAATAAAACCACGCGAGCTCTTCCGAAAGGCGCTGGAGATGAGATGGGAGGAAGTGAGGAGGCACTCGCTCCCTCTCCACTACTTGCTCTGCTAAGACGATTGAGTGGAGGCCTTTGCGTGAGGAGATCGTTCTGCTTTTTTTAACCTGCAACAAAATACAATGTGTGATTAAAACGTTCCGGGTCTAATTTTGTACGTAAACAGAGAGGCTAGCACAATGATGCGTGCGCAGCAGTCGAAGGAAGGGACCTTCATGTTTTGTTACACCAAATGGCGTCGCTCTGTAAATATTTAGAGCTGCGCTACACGAAGTTTTGTGATCACGTGCACGGGGAACAATGTCCATTTCACTCTAAAGTTAAAACCAGAGCAAGAGAAAATATAAATTCTGCATCAATGTCGGCAAATACAAAACAGACACCTTTGACATGATTCCCCAGGCTTGAGTCAAAAAGCAGTTAATTTTGAAGGTGTTTTGAATGGCACTAGCGCTTTAGGAACGGCAGACTATCGCTGGAAGACGAAGAGCGGTGATGCGACCTTGTCAGAACTTTCCTTGACTTCAGTGAAGTTCTGCCATTCTTGAGGCACCGGTGCCACTCAAAAGACTTGCACAACTCACTGATTTGTGACACATGCCTTCTAAATCCTTTCGGAGGTCTGTTTTCGGTTTACCGAGTTTGACGTAAAATTGATGTTTGCTCTCTCTCTGGCTTGCAATCTATGGAAATATCGCCATTATGCTAGTGGATATGGTAAAAAAAAAAATCGTGTAGCGCAGGTTCAAAAGTTCCCACAGCGACAACCTTTGGTAAAACGAGACACGAAGGTCCCTTCCTTGGACTGCTGGGCGCGCATCAGTCTGCTGACCTCTGATTTTACGCTACAAAATCAGTCCCGGAACTTCTTGATCAAACCTCGTATATTAGAGATTCTTAAGAGGAGACATGCATTCTGTCGTCTTTTGCCGCAGTTTTTTTTATTGTAGATGTAGGCAATATGATACTGTTAAATGGTACATGCGATAGCCGGTGTTTTTTTGCTTTTCTGTTATAATTCTAAGGCTGCCACTCACTGTGGGTGAAAGTGTCCTTATTTGGAGCATCACCGTTATCTTTAAACATTAGTGCCAGTCAATGTGTGTGTAAAACGTTTAATGAAAAAAAAAGAGAGAAGTCAATAAAATGCGAACTTCGCTGTTGTTCTGTTCAAAGCAACTCTGTAGTCCGGTGTAGATAAATTTTCGTGCGGTGTTTAGCATCACATCTCTATAATTTTGTTTGTCACCGAACACCAAGGAGAACCGAATGTTGTAAGTAAAGTCTCGCCTCTTCAAAAATGGGGTGGTGTGACACATCGCATTATTGCTTAGATTCGTGAAACTCCGAAGAGAATACGGGGAATGACCAAGTTCAAAAGGCGTTTATATATCTCGAAGACGCCATTTGTGCAGAGGCATTGAGCACGAGCTTCCCGAAGAGTAGCAATTGACTCACCGCGTGATTGACGGGAAAGTGGATATTATTTTTTTAAGTGTATTCAACGGAAGTGTTGAGAACTTCTAAACTGCATTCGAAGCAAGCTGTGTTGGAAAATGGGATCATAACCACATTCATTAAGCTTTCTAAAAAAAAAATGCCAACCATAATCTTTATAACGTTTCAGAAAATGCGTGCACCCTTCTCCAACCTGAAAGCGGCCTGGGAAATACACCAATGTGCTGCCGGTTCATCTTCGACCTTCTCTGCGGCACAGGGCAAAAGTATTACACCTACGACAAAGAGACCTGTTCGAAAAAACACATCAAATGGTGGCCATGGTGGTTTAGGAAACATATCTTATAGATAACCTACAACGTCAATGTGCGCTGCGCATTCAGAGTTGGTTGGCACACTCGGAAATGAAGTAGCACATTAATATCCTGCCCTGAGAAATAAATCTCTCTTCACAACCTGACTATTTCTTGTTGGTCGACTCTTCTCAACATCTTCACCCTGTCCTGTGGGAATATTTTTATTTTTTTATTTTTTCGATACTCTCAGCGCACTGGGACATATTACAGAGGGAAAGGCCATATACATTCCAAGAGACAGCAGTTCACATACAAAAATGAAAAGTAATCCATCTTTTTAGAATATAATCGGTTCGACCTAATGTAAGAAAAGCTGATAAGGTACCATTCAGTCGACGTACGTTCTTGGTACGAAGGTCTCGATGTAGGCTGACGTTTCACAATGAGGTATGAGCACTTTACTATTATGATCGACTCTCGCAGAAATGTATGAGAGACTAGAGAGTTGTTTCCTGTTAGGGAAAGTGTTTTAATGATAACGATTGTAGAAAAGATTAAACGAGACTTTACGACGTAAGTACAGAGACGAAGGAATAAAGTGGTTTGAAGGTTATGATGTTCGTAACGTACTGCGCGACTTTGCAGAGCTTCAAAGTTGGTTATTCGTTTGGCCGGGGTCCCAGATTGATGCTGTCTATTCAAGCTAAGATCGAGCTAGAGTTTTGTACTAGTTTGATTGCAAAGGGGTTGACACATAATTTTGTTTCAGGTATAGAAGTATGCAATGGACCTTTTCCGAGAAGCGTTCTGCGCACGCGCGAGCGCCCGATGCCAAGCGGTGGAAATCGGCACGAAAAAATCGAGGAAATTCGGAATGAGGCTGTAAATCGACGACTAGAACACGTAATTGCAGCATATATATAATTGTGTTACACAAAAAAAGAAAGTGGACGGAAAGAAAAACACGACGTTTGGGTGGACGCTACGGATTTCCCTCTTTAAAGTCGCGTTGAGCACGCGACGCTGCTCAGAGAGCGAAGCAACTGGTAGCGTAGCTCTCATTATTGATTGGTAGCGCAGGTAGGTCACTCCCTCGATTTTTAGTTCGTGCAGCCACCGCCTGGTGCCGTCGGTATTTGGAAAAGGTCCATTGGCGTTTACGATAATGTGGTTGGTATGAGTTTTCCATGACACCTTAAACGTTGGTTCAATATAAGATAAAGGCGTGGTAGAATGTGAAGCCCTACTAGCTTTTATATTTGTTAATATTTATAGTAAATTGTAACGCTTTACGCTAATCGGACACTGCGCATAAAAGGTCGGTATCCGTTTCGGTTGTTATTTGAGGAAGTCACACCGTCATGAGATAGACGCGTCCAAGTTTTCTTCGAATTTAGTTCAGATTTAATCCCGTTCCGCGTTTGCGTAAAAAAATACCGTTGCCGCATGGTACCCTACTGAGAAAAATTTATATGAATGTATTTGCGATATGTTTATTGGACACATTTTCATATCAGAAGCTATTGAGTATTTCATATCAGTTTCATATGTCGCATACAAGTTTCAGCTAGGCTAGGTGGCGCTAGGTACAGCCCAGTTCATGTGCTACAAAAATATTTTATTTGCTCACGCCACCATTACACTTCAAGCCCTGGCACCTTTCTTATACACTCATGTAGATGCATTACGCATACCACTAGCATCAGCTGAACATATACGTTGAGCGTATGCAGAAACACGGCACAACAAACATGAACACAACAGCACACCAGTTAACTACTTTTGAGCTCTGCATTTCCGCATTTTATGCTGGTCGCTTTGAAGGTACAAATTTTCTCGGTGACCGCCTAAAAATAAATTATATCCCCAGCATGTTGCTTCTTTCAGTAATGTCACACCTCTGAGAGTATATTGAACTACTCAGGGGATGAGTCCCTTAGTAAATAGTAAACGCTCATGCTGTAATCATTTGAAAGCCAATAAATTAAGTCGCTTCACTGCGGTTTCAAGCCACGTGTTTGCTTGCCCACGGGGCACGTCGTATACTAAAAGAAATTATATGAATTTATTTCTGATATGTTTATTAGACACATTTTCATAACAGAGCTTATATGATATGAAAACATTTAAGAACTGATATGACTGAAATAATGTATTGCAATGAAGTGATGGGCTAGCAGGCAAGTATATTAACACAAATATAGTGCTAAAGACATCGACAAGTAGGAAAGTTATGAAAAACAGATATGACTTAAAAATGATATGCATGATGTGGACGTCATATCAGTTGTTATTCAGGCAGCATATGACATTCCATTTTCTGATATGAACGCCACATAAGTTACCATTTAAATCACACCATGAACTTGTATGCTGCATATCAGTTGGCATTTGTTGCATTCCAGTTTTTGGATATCTGACATCAGTTCTATAGGTCGCATAGCAGTTTTTGGATATTCCGTATCAGTTCTTACATGGATTCATATATTTTTTTTAGCAGGGTAGCTAGTCTAGTTTAGCGCGCTGCTTTAATCTTAATTTTTCTCTGCTGCTGCTGCTCTGATGATGCCGTTTTTCCTTTGATTAAGCATTCGTTCTACTCGAACAAGAATTCTGTAAAAATAAAAAATTGCCGAGAGAAGACCCCTGTGGCACACGGATTTTATTTTGCCCATGTTTGATTTAGGTTCATAAATACCTGTGTGTGAAAAAAGATCTCGTAAATAATGTGTTAATATATCAAGGGAACGTTTTCTCGTTCTATATATATGAAGTTTTCAAACAGAATATTTGCCTCACTGAATAGAGTGCTTCCTTAAGGCATAAAACACTCTTACTGCATACTTCATCTGCTTAAATTTGTGAATTGATTTACCTTAAATGATTAGCACCAACAATTCAGTTGATATTTATTTCCGTAGGTCGCACGATTGCTGGGGTACCACAGTAGTTTTCTCGAACGAATTTAAAAATCGATTTTTTATAGCTTTAATGCTATTCATGTATGAAATCAAAATTTGGAGGAACCCAAATTCGCTCTAAAATTGTTTTTGGTCATTTTGATAAGCTCTTTGTGAATCACTAACCCTTTTCTTATTGTTACTTGATTGGGGAAAAATTAGGTATTTCAGACTATATTCCATTACTTCTGTTGGCGTAACTGAAAAAAAGTTACATATTACAATTACAACTACTTTGTTGAAAAATGTAACTGATTACAGCAATCTATTACTGAATTACACAAGTAATTGAACAAATTTTCAGAAAGTAAATGATTACTTTTTACGTCTCTTTTTTAGCATTTTATGACTAAACCAAAGATGCACACAGGCTCGAAGTCGTGATATTTTGTTTCTTTCTTGTAATTCACACCTATTGCTAAATGAATTCGTCACTTCCTTTAATAATAGGGATAGTCATAGAAAGGGAAAGATAGAGAAGGATAAACAGTCACACGTTGGACTATTAAAAGCACCGATCCAGTAACAAAAATATCAATCTTAGATAAGATAACTTTATATTTTTAGTACTAACGTCGCGAATTGGGCCAGTTGGTTTATGATCGTGGACAAGCGCCGGATAATGACAGGGACAAGAAGTTGACGTGAACACTGGCGCACTTTCAGGCACACAAACAGCCGTCAAGAAGAATAAAGGGACACATACTAAATCTCGTGATAAAAGCACTGTAAGGTCAGTTGTGATTGCGTATACGAACTCCATAGCCCACAACCTTAAACAGGTGGCTGTCCGGTTTTGTTGGCACCGGAAAACGCTGCACAAACTGCCGTAAATTCAACTCACCCGACGATGCTGCAGGGTGATTCCACGTCAGTTCATGCAATGATGGTCCGGATCATATTTTTGATATTTTTGTTAAAAATGTATACGAAAGCCATGTTCTCGGGAGGAACATTCAGCTATATATGAACGCCGTAACAAATTTTTTAGTTGAGATATACGATAGAGAAGCTCGAGGCGTTGAAATTAAAAAAGTTTTCATGATGCTACTTTTCACAGTCGTCACTTTCTCATCGAAGCTTGCACGTCACCATAACTTTTTAATACATTCTATAGGAGATATACAACACATACACAAAACATTAGAATTATCAATAAAATATTTTAGGCAAACAAAATGATCAAACATGGCATAAAACGCGTTTAAAACCATATTCACAATGTTTTTGCAAATAAACCATCTTTCATAATACTTCACAAAACATATAAAATGGCGCGTCTTCATATATTCTTTACGCATGTATAAAAATTATACGCCCACCATTAATCGTCTTCTTGTTATAAACGCGGAAATGCAGCTGATTTCTCAAAATGTGGCACGATTGGGTGTCGATATTTAAAAAAAAAACTCCATCTTTTATTTTTTTAAACACCCCCTGGCACTTTCCAGTGACTAGAACTTACTTGTGATGGCAAAACATTGAGTACCATATCACCTCCAAACGGGGAAAGCTACGACAAACCTTCTCTCGGAGCCAGCCGACGTCTTCATCATAGCGGCTTCGCCGCACAGCACCAAACATTTTTAGCGTTAGTTATGGCATGTTTTTTTTTTAAATATTTTTCAATTTTTTTAAAGGGGTGAGTATAACTGACGCGAAAAGGGAGTTTGAGCAGGAATATCATTAATTAGCTTACAATTCACAAAAAACCAAACGCATCCACTCTGCAAATTCGCTAACTATACATACATAAGCTTAAAACTCCCAGTGCGCAAGTGGCCATGTAGACATCCGGCCTCTCGGCATACGGTGACTTCCACGGCTGAGATGCCTGGATTACTGTCACAGGTTTTACGGTGGTCTACTTTGCTCGCTTCACCGCACGAAACTCTCGAACCCGTTCCGCACACAGGTGGAACATGCAGACATTTGTTGCTTTTTCACGTAGCACTTCCACAAAGTCTTAAGCGGTCACAATCGTTCAGTTGAGCGAAGATCTAAAGTTGGTGATCGTTGCGTGGTGTTTAAGAACACCATCTACTCGATCTCATGCGCTTTCTTGTGTCCGTACAATTGGAAGTGATTCTTG